GATTCCCAAAGAGGATCTATTTCATTTTTGATTTATTTAAGTAGGAAGACTTACAGGTTATTCTGTATGGTTAATGAAATATTATTGCTGTTTAAGCTATTAGACTATTCTCAACCATAGTGTATGTAATGCACAATCAAAATCAAAATACTAACCTACATATATTAACCACAATTGATCAGGAAGTCAGTCTGCCCTTCAAAATAAAAGCTCTGGAGAATCCACTAGAAAAAAGGCTTTCAAAAGAGTAATATATGTATGGCCAACAACACTATAGCTGCAAATAGACACTATTAACTACATCAAGGCCCTTCTCATTATATGGCAAAGATTATATTTTATAACATGGATTATTTTCTGTAATAGTAATTGCCTTTAACTTTTTTTTATAGTTTTTGGCCTTCCTTTTTTACTTTATCTTTTTTTATTATTATTGTTTGTCATTGCGTTATTAGCATCTGACTCACTGTAAAAACAGATTATTGTTTTTGTTTTTTAAAGATGCCAATATAATTTGGACAGTGTTTTTTTACCCTGTAATATGTTTTACTTTCCTTTTGCACCTTATTTTATTGAAATGAACGTATGTAAAGCAATAAACATTCATATTGATTATTTATTTGTAAACCAAGTGATTTTGAGTTTGCTGTCACATTTTTATCATATTCTTTTTTAACCCTAAACTATGATTGAAGCATTTTCCAACCACCATGCTTTTATTTTTGCAAAATGTAACCGGAAGTCATGTTGCTCTACTCTTTCAAATGTAACTGTTTGTCTACCGCTGTTGTTCCCAGTGATATCGGGGCAATATGGTGATAACATTTAGGGTACAGGCCGCTGGTGTGGCAACGTTGAACAAGTCCAGTTAATCATAAAATAATAAAGATTTTTTACAATTTAATAATTTTCATCCAGCCTTTTAACCCGTATACACGATGAAACAACGTTGACGTGTTAACCCATTACCGTCCGCTTTGTGCCAATGCGTTAAAAAAAAAAACATAACGCCACAAAACAAGCTATCATCATGCTTCCTCTTAACGACTATCTGTTTAAAGACGACATTGCACTTAGGAGCGGAACATATCGGTTGAAAGGCGAGGCTGCGTGTTTACTGCTATGACCGACCGAGGCATCCTTTTTCAGCCTCCGAAGCGATGCTGCCCAACCTAGCATTTGTTCTCCTTTTTCCTCCGTCTCTTTGCAGCCAACGCTGACCAAAAACCCCACAATAAATACACTCACCTTGCCGCAGTTGGTTGACATTGACAGTAGGTGTACTTTCGACACAAAGCATCAGACGCAGCTGGAGATAAACCGAGCTGGTGGCTCTGCTAGTCCTTGACGTGTGGGAATATTGTTGTCTCTGTGAGACTGCAGGGCAGACACGGCGGTGCATCGCAGAGGGGCTGGGTCGGGGAGGAGCGTCATCCTGAGGTCACAGTGTGGGCCCAGACGGGATTATCTAACCCTGGGGTGGGACCTCTGTCAACTCGGCCAGGGTGGCATTTACCCACCCCACAAATATTATGCATTACATTAATGCACACCATGTGAACAACATATTGCTTCTTTTTTTTAAACTGTTAGTCATGTTCATCTCTCTGAATATATTTTGCACTCTTCTGCACACATTTCTGCACAGCCCTCCAATTTAAAATATAAAATACTGCAGTTTGACAGTATATTGTCATATATTCACTTTACTACCTTTTTTTGTGTGTATATTTCACTTCGGTGTAAATACTTGTCTTTATACTTTGTTATTGTTAACATATTTTCTTTTTATACTCGATATATTTTTTACCTTCTCTTAAAACTTATTTTCTTGTGATTTTCTAGTTGCACCACCATACAACAAAACAAATTCCATATATGTGTAAACGTACCTGGTAGTAAACTCGGTTCTCATTTAGATTTAATGAAGAAATAGCTAAATTATGTTGTGAACCCGGTTATTCTACTAATTTATTTCAGATGCAGTTGTTGCGGTTGGCTTCAAAGTGTTTTTTATATATTTAGTACAAGCAAAATATACAAACACCAGACAAGAGAGTTTGAAGAGATGACAACACCGGCTCATATCCAATAATACAATATAATAAAAAAGTAAAAACAATAAATACAATTATATTTAGTACGAGTGATGCACATAAAATACATGGTAGTATGAAGAAATACCAAATAACAAATAATAAAACAAAATTATAAGACCTTGTGCAATTTTCACATTGCACATAAAAAAGTATAAAAGCCAATTACTTTTTCTAAACAAAATATGAAAAAAGCAAATGTGATGATGGAAAAGTGCTTTACATGAAGCACGATTATGTTTGACTTTTTTGTGGACTGGACAATGTTAAGAAGCATACCCTGTTAAATCCTGTTGTTATGTAGCTTTGTGGTTTATGCAGGATAAAGATATTATTACTATCACTTTGAACAGGTCTCCATTGCAGTGCAATGAGTCTGTTGAAAGAATAAGGGCCTCTTGGTTAAAGGGTTGCTCGTATTCTTTCCAAATATAGATTAACGAATTGACTTAAATATAAAACACATAATGCTTATTGACCCTTGTTGTGACAAAGTCCTCAGTTTTAATAGCATTGAGCTATTCGCTTATTTCCCTTGTATGCTCACCTCCATCTGCTGGTTATCTAATGTTACTGCATATAGGCCAACCAAAGAAAATACCTTCAACCTTATTCTAATAGACTACTGACTACTGAGGTCAGGTCACACATGCCTTCTATAGGTCAAGATCATCACACATTTAAAGAGCAACTTGCAGGTTAGAGGCAATAATTTTTTTCAAAATAAATTGCATTTTTTATCTACTCTTCAAACACCTTAAATTAAGATGACTCCTTGATTGACTTTTAAAAATATTTATTTTAGCCAGAAGAATAGTTATATTTATTAACTGAATGTAAATTCAATATTTGCCACCAAATAATTTGCCAAGCATTATGTTTTGTGTGGAAACGTTTTCATTAAGATTTTTCTTTATTTTAACCTCTTTTCCTTTCTCTTTCTCGATCCTCCTTAGCAACGGTCATTAAAGTCCTTGACAGCGGTCTGTTCTACTGGATTTACAACGTGTCACATGTTCTGAATTGACCAATCAGAACTTGATTTAGCCTCCGTATGGCTTATGGTTGAATGTGGG